GTGTGTGTGTGTGTGTGAGAGAGAGTCTGTGTGTGTGTGTGTGTGTGTGTGTGTGAGAGAGAGTCTGTGTGTGTGTGTGTGTGTGTGTGTGAGAGAGAGTCTGTGTGTGTGTGTGTGTGTGTGTGTGTGAGAGAGAGTCTGTGTGTGTGTGTGTGTGTGTGTGTGTGTGAGAGAGAGACAGTCTGTGTGTGTGTGTGTGTGTGTGTGTGTGTGTGTGCAGAGTGTTTCTGAATTAATGCAGTTACGTAAAGCCCCCCTGCCAAAAACCCACACCCACACACACGTCCCGCACCGTGCCATAAAGGCCCTTCAAACAATCGACGTCAAAAAGTACAAAAACACAAAAAAATGCAAAATAATTATTTATTTATTTTATGATTTGTATATCATACTTTACATTTTACTTACATACACAAATTAGTTTGAGTGTCTAATTCTTCTGTATAGACTGAATGATTTAATTGTGTTTAATCTGTTTTAGTTTTTCTGAAACACAGAACATCATAAAATATTTAAACAATGCTGTAATATTTTTGAACTCCAGTTATGGCACTTTATGAAAGGGTCTAAATTACCTCCGTGACATCATTAAATGTGAACCTATCAGCAATCAGTAGCAGTAATGCTAACCAATCAGCTCTCAGTAGCAGGTATGTTAACCAATCAGCGCTCAGTAGCAGTAATGCTAACAATCAGCACAACCAGTTCTTACTACTAACAGGTTAGTGTTAGTTAGCATTAGCATTACTGCATTATAATTTACTGCAGTTGTACTTTATTTTCCAGCTGCTCTTCATCCATAAAAATTAAACTGGCTGGGTTAGGGTTTTTTGTTACTGTGCCTCTATGACAGACATATGTAAATGAGCTCTGTTCTGATTGGTTGTTCTCTAATGTGCCTCATTCAAATTGCAGCAGAACCACTCTCACTTCAGTGTGAATGGTCAGGGCTAATCTGCTATACACTGTATATAGATATAGATGTGTATATATCAATTGACTGTTAATTGAAGATGAATTGATTTCTTTTAGCTGTTGATGTTGTTAATATCAATAATCTCAATTTGCTTTATTAATCTGCTCCTCTGTGCTGCTAATCTGGTCTAACAAGGGCAGAAAGGTGAAAGTACAGAGGGAACTGATTAGAACAATCTGTTCTCTGTCTTTACATCACTGTTACACATATTACACCTGCATCAGGAAGCGCTTACAGCTCAGAGGAACATTTACAGCTCAGAGGAACATTTACAGGAGCTACATTAGACACTGTCTGAAGTTTCACCTACAAATAAATCAGTTTGAATCGTTGCTTAAGCAAAAACTTCTCTCTTTCTGTGTTAGTTACTACAATACTTCACTACTACCAGTTATACCACCTCTAAAAGCTCCCTCACAGAAAGTTCCTACATGAAATGGTTATGAATTCACTGCCTGATGACTGAGACACTGTTTTATGATAGTTTAGAGAACTTAAACTCCATTCATGGTGGAGGGATACATGCAGGGCGCTGTGAGGCAAAATAGTCCCCAAAGAAAACTTATTATTTCAGATTTTCCACTATTTTCCATCATCAACATTCCATATAAACTCAGAAGACTCGTGTAGGTTCACTGGTGGTTCTGGATAGTAAATAAAATGTCTATATTTGTGTTGTAGTCATGGCGACCCCTGGCTCCTATCACCACCACTGTAAACACATCTAAACAATTTCACACCAAACCTCTCTGAATGAAGAGTGAATGAGAGAGTGAATCACTCTGTTTACATCTGAAACACTCAATTATAAGGGAATTTTGATAAACAGGTGGAATTCTCCTTTGAAGTGTTAAGAGTGTTTCACTGTGACACAGGCAGTCATAGAGAAAATCAGGAAGGGGAAAAATACACAGAACTAAATAAACTTAGTTTATGTTATCATTTGATTTTGATGTCTTTCTTAATGTCTTCACTTTTGGAATTGAAAATAAATATAAACATTGTGTAGAATCAACTCTAAAATGTCTGGATTAAAGTATTCCTGCTATAAAGATTTGATGGAAGCACATTTTCATTTAAACTGTACCTGTAAGGTAACTGCTGCACACGCAGGGTGTAATGTAGAAATATTTTGGGTGGGGCAGTTATTAATCCTGCTCTGAGTGAACGCGCTTCAGAGCCACCTGGTGGAAAAGCAGCAATACTGTTCAGGTTCCAACTTATTTTGAGATATGACATTAATGAAAACACGCAAGAACAGAAAAAATAATCACACAGCTTTCATTAGTGATCAGTGGAAGTAGCAGATCCACCAGAACATGAGCAGGTATAGTTTGCTCGACCTCAGTGGTGTAACTGGAGCCCCAGTGCAAAAATAAATACATAAATAAATAATTATGATGTAACCCCCATTTCAATCAATTAAACATGAGAACTTAAAGGGACAGTGTAATGTTCTTGTTTACTTGCTATTGTTTAGTCTGAAATGAGTTGATGCTCCCAAGGCCGCTCCACCCACTATAGCGTCTAATGCTAACCCCAATGTTTAAGTTAGCCTGCTTAAGAATTAGAGTTATAAATAATGGATATGTGATGCTGCAGGTTGTGAAGGAGGCTGTAGATGGTTATGATGGATGAGCTGCGTTCTGAATTAGATAGATAAATAAACATCAGTTCTGTCTGATAGTGATGATGAGGATAGCTGGTGGGGGATGTAAAGAAAACAGTCATGTGTCATTATTTAGCATATGAAGTGCAGTAAAGGTTATAGGGAGCCTGATTAACGCAGTTCAGCACTGTTTAGTTCAGTATTAGTGGACTGACAATTGTGATATTCGACTTTACATTTGGAAATAAACAGTAATCCATAACAAAACTTTAAATTAAAGCATTAATTAATTAAAAATGTCTTTATGATTCTTCAAAACATAAAGGGAAATTCCACTGATTTCTCAAAATTTCCCCCATATTTCAGTGTGTGAGGTGTAATCAGAGTAACTCAGAGTGGTTTGGTGTGAAATGGTTCAGATGTCTTTACAGTGGTGGTGATAGGAACCAGGGGTCGCCATGACTACAACACAAATATAGACATTTTATTTACTATCCAGAACCACCAGTGAACCTACACGAGTCTTCTGAGTTTATATGGAATGTTGATGATGGAAAATAGTGGAAAATCTGAAATAATAGTTTTCTTCGGGGACTATTTTGCCTCGCATGTATAAATACTCATTTATAAATACACATAACATCATATCATTTGATTTGACCGCTCCTAAGTTTATTGCGTGTTATTTATTTGATGTGCTTTTTGCCTGATATTCTGTTTATTTTACTAATTACTCCGGTTTTTTATCTGTTGTACGAACGTTTCTATAAAATCGTTCAAGAATTAAAAATACAGTGCGGTAAGTCGGAAGTGACGCAGACAACCGTCGCCCTTGGCCAATCAGAGCTCGCGGCGCTCATTTCGAATGTGGCCGTGCGGAGAGGCGGGGTTCCGTCAGAGGCGTCGCTCCGCGCTCCGGGAGGATTTCGGGTTTCGGCTGAGAAGTCCTGATAAGGTCCAGCGTCAACGGTGAGTCTGGATAAAACAGAGTCAGCGCGGCGTTTGGTCTCGGTGCGGGGCTGAAACCCGAACCGCGAGGCTGCGGAGTGCGGTGCGGTACACGGGCAGCGTTAGCATTAGCGGCTAACAGACACGGTAAACGGTCGCTTCGGTCGCTTTGATCCTCGGAGTCCGGCCGCTGCTGTGAGCAGAGACGCTTTACAGCTTGGCCATGAATGTTTATAGCGCAGTACTGACTTAGTCGACACCTGGTTCGAATTTTCCCGTTCCACCTTAAATGCAGCAGCAGTTTGTATTGTTAGGGCGTGTAATGGCGTAATGTAATTGCTGCACCGTTTAAGGTGGAACGGGCAAATTCGAATGAAGGATGTGTTGTGTTTGGTTCTGTGTAGAACCTTTTTGAGGGGTCTTTTGTTGTTGCAAGCTTGACATCGTAACAGTAGCAGAACCCTTTTTGGTGCTATATAGGACCGTATGGAGCACATTCTCCATCTGAAGAACCGTTCCAACATGCGAAAAACCATAGAGAAGTATTGTCTTTACTACAGAACCCTGAAGAACCTCCTTTTCTAAGAGTAACGTTAGACGTGGTGAGCAGTGCGGGGGGATGTGCATGTTTTGACACACGTTTAAAAACGGCCATCAGAGTCTTTGAATGTGGTGATTTTTGTTCAGCATTTAATGTAGCTTAGCTCACTGTACTGTACTGCACCAAACCCGGTTAAACAGGACTAATATAGCTAATCTGTTTGTAATTAAGCATCCTGTTCGCACAATATTCATGATATGCTCTAAGAGAAATATTGTTTATCATGATAATGATGAAATAGCATTTTGCCCATCTCTACTGTGACGAGTGATTATTTCAAATACTAGTGCTGTTATGTGATCTACTGTTTCTCTCTCTTTCTGTCTCTCTCTCTCTCTCTCTCTCTCTCTCTCTCTCTCTCTCTCCTCACTATAGGGAGTGTGGAGATATGTGTTTATTTATGTGTCTGTCTTTATTTATTGTAGTTAAGTATTTCCTACAGTGGAAATGAGCAGGAAAGCACTAACATGTGGAGGAGGATAAGCGAGTCCTAAGCAGATGTTTTGGTTTTTCTCCTGCAGAGTGGTCCGCCATGGTTCGGGAGCGGGTGGTCCAAAAAAAGTCGTTCCAGCAGAGTCTGGACGACATCAAAGAGAAGATGAAGGAAAAAAGAAACCAGAGACTGGCAAGCGCCAGTGCTGTGAGCCGCGGGCTTTCAAAACTGAAGAACAAAAACACAGGTAACGTGGAGTTTAGAACTGCTGTGGAGAATTATGGATGGACCTAATTATGTTATGTGTGTATATTGCATGAATACACCAAAGTATTTCCAATGACTTTGACATCATACATGCTGGAAAACTTGGTGAATTAAATATTGTAGTAATCTCTATCCAAACATTCTGCATCATTAACTGCTTAAGATGTAAACTGAGAGGTTCAGAGAGGTTCAGAATCGTTCAGAGGGGTTCAGAGTGGTTTGGTGTGAAACGCTCTGTTCTAGAGAAACTTACCGAGTCAGAACTGTTCACAGTGGTGGTGATAGGAACCAGACGTCCCCCTCTAAAAGCTCCCTCACAGAAAGTTCCTACATGAAATGGTTATGAATTCACTGCCTGATGACTGAGACACTGTTTTATGATAGTTTAGAGAACTTAAACTCCATTCATGGTGGAGGGATACATGCAGGGCGCTGTGAGGCAAAATAGTCCCCAAAGAAAACTGATTATTTCAGATTTTCCACTATTTTCCATCATCAACATTCCATATAAACTCAGAAGACTCGTGTAGGTTCACTGGTGGTTCTGGATAGTAAATAAAATGTCTATATTTGTGTTGTAGTCATGGCGACCCCTGGTTCCCATCACCACCACTGTAAAGAAAATCAAAGTTATGTAAAATAGTTATAAATGAGCTGCCCGATGTGTGAGTCGGTTAAGGTTAAATTCTGTTTTTTAAATATTTTCATGGTGGAAAGGTGAATGCAGGGTGTGGAGCAAAATAGTAGGGCTGACTTATAAACTCTTCAAGAGGTGCAGTTTTAATTATATCCTAAGAACTGCATGTAGATGTGTTGGTCCAAATAGTGGCCAAACCCCCCTGTGCTGTGACATCACGGCCACAACTAACTGCTGCGCTATGTTCAGCAGTAAAGCTAGAAAAAGTGAATATTCTAAACATCTTAGAAAAAAAAACAGGTCTGGACCTTAATTTATAGAAAATAATCACAGTAAAATAAAAAAATAAACACAGTCACAGTGTTGGTCAGAAAAATCCCTGATTTCCCGAATCGTTCAGACCCGCAAAAAAGTGCTCAAGAAGAAATGGGTGGAGTTCTCCTTAAAGTGTGCTACTGACACGATCAGCACGTTCTACTGAGCTGTGTTTAGGGCTTTGACCCTGTGTTAAGCATCACTGTCATGTTCTCAACAGCAGCAGTGAAGCCGTTTGTGCTGAAGAGCGTGCAGGTGAACAACAAAGCCCTGGCTCTGGCTCTGCAGGCGGAGAGGGAGAAGGTACGGCAAGCGCAGGGGGTCATTCTGCAGATGAAGAGAGAGAGGCAGGCACTTATTTTTCACCTGCTGATGCTGAAAAGGGCTCTGAGAGAAGCGGGTGCCGTGAGAATCGCACAGGTGAGTTACACCCAGTCGCGGTGGTGTGAAGCTAATATTGGCAGAGCTTGTTTGTTAAAGGATTTGAAACCCCAATGAAAAATCTGCTGGTTATTTTCCACCTTGTCTTTTATGGTCAGATGTTTTCTTCAGTCTTTAAAAGGACATTATCATCAAAAACTGAATTTTCCTCACTTTTTAAAATAAAACAGTTTGATGTAGAACATAAACACTTTGTGTGTTTACATGCACTCAATAATCCAATCATAATTGGATTTCTGCGGTTATCTGGTTATTCAAATCGTCATGTAAACACCATACTCCGATCTAGAAATCCAATTAAGAAATCTGAAAAAGAGGCTGGATTTTAGCTCAGTAATCAGATTTCTCAGTCGGATTTCGCAGTCTGCGCGAGATCAGACGGTGGATGTCGCGAGACACATCAAAACACTGTTGGAGCGGCGCTGAAACCAACCACAAAAATACAGGATTTAAATTTTCTTCATCTTCTAGATGATGTATGTTCATATTTTACGTAAAGCGGCACCATGTTTTTAAAAAAAGCTGCGGTATGAAGTTTGAGTTTTACATTATGTTTACGTCACGTCTTTTTCTGTGAATTTGTTGGCTGGTTGTAAAGCAGAAATCTGATTACTGTCTGATTCATACAGACCTGGAGTTTCCCCATTATCTGGTTACTCGAGCATATAAACGTGTTGATTGGATTACTGACAAAATCTGATTTTCTGCTGTTATTGGATTATTAAGTGCATGTAAACACACTCACTGTTAAACTTTCAAAATGTACTGTTCCACTGTGCAAACAGTCCATATATGGAAACTGTGCTGCACATTTTTAACTCTTTGTTTTTGTGATGTCACAAAAACCAGCACATTTGCTTATATCCAGCTATTCAGCCTACAGATAATAAGCCGCACCTGTTCACTCAAATTACAAGAAGTGTTTCAGCTCTGACTGTGTTGAGCCTCCTTCAAAAAGCAGGACAGCCAATCAGAACAGAGCTCATTTACATATATCAGTCTTAAAGGCAGAATAATGAAAACAGCCTTTTTCATTCTAAGGAATCAGAGAAGTTGGTAGCAATTAATTGTGACTGTTTTCGGTTCATAAAACCCACACAAACGTTAGAAGTGGCCCTCGTTACAAGAAGAATGTAGGATATGGGCTCTTTAATACAGTCTTGGCCTCTGCAGTGCGATGTAGACAAAGGCCTTTATTGTGTATATATATGAGCGCGCCAGTAATGTGCTGGGTTACATCACCAGAATCAGAATCACTTTATTTCACCAAGTTTGTTACACATACAAGGAACTTGTCTTTGTGAGTCACACATGTATGACGTTAACACACTGATCAGACCAGACAAGCACAGATTGATAACAAGCATTAAACTGAGTCAAATCCAATAAAATACAAAATAATAATAAAGAGCTGATGTGAAAGCAGCTAAAGAGATGAGTTAATATCTGTTCATGTACAGATAAGAATGTCTGTACATATGATAGTCTGTCGACGTGTTCTGTAGATCTGTTATACAGAATATTACAGAATGATATGAGTATTTGCAGAAATGTAACGTGTACAGTTGTGTAAATAAGCATTGTGCTACAGAGGAGTTACTGTAATACAGTGAGGAGATTAATTCGGTTAAGTTTGTTCAAAGTGTGAAGTTTGTAATGAAATAATCCCAGCATGCCAGTGTGTCCATGTGAAGCTCCTGTACTGTCTAATCCATTTTTGCATGACTGTTTTCATTTGTTTTCTTTTTGTCCTCTTGTTTTTAGATGTCGTCTTCAGAGGAACCACAGTTAATCCTTCCTGAGTCCACCAGCCCTGAGTGAGTGATTCAGCTCTGTATTAACAGACATTCTGTTGAAGTTGCCTGATATAAATACTCAGTCTGAATTCAGTCTTTTTAAATCTTAGACTTTTAAAGCTGAGTTGATATAATTTCCAAAGTTGGACTGATGTCCAGTTTACTCCAGTTGTTAGTTTGTTGGTAAACCTGCAGCGTTTAAATTATCGAGCTTACTGGTTTGTAGATATAATGTTTCTATTGTTTAATGGTGGTCAGTGTTCACGGTTCAGTGTTTATGCTGTTGTGGTTCAGGCCTGTGGCAAAAGCTGAAACTGTCCCTCAGGAAGAGGAGCTCGACCCGGCTGATCCCCTCATAGGGACGGGTTCTTCAGAGCCTGGTAAGTTGCTCCTGGATATCGTAACCTTGCTCTGGTCGAGTGTTCAGTCTTTATGGCTGACAATTTATACAATTTAACATTTATATTTATTGTGTAAAATGGTAAGAATAAAACTGAACAGATATATAGAGATAAGTCTGTGTGAATATTGCTTGTTAACCCTAACTGCGCAGCAGCTTCTCAAAATGTGGTTTCAGGTCTGATTTTATACGAGGCTCCTTATTCAGCAGCTTCTTGTTCCAAATTTCTGTTCCATCTTAAATAAAGCAGCAGATACAATGGGTGCATTTGAAATGCCTTACTACTATACTGCACTGTTGTTGTTGTTGTTGTTGTTGTTGTTGTTGTTGGGAAGTGCCATAAAGTCTTTTCTGACTCCTGGCAACCAAATGGACAGTGTTTCTCCTCAGTGTGCTTTTATATGTGCTGTAGAAAATACATGCCACTTCGTCCCTCTGATATCCTTGTGGCCAGCATGTAGGGGTGGGTGATATGGTGAAAGGTCATATCACGATACTGCAGGAAGATTTTTACGATACGCTATGTCCCAATGTTTATTTATTTTTCTTTGTGACATCAGATAAGTTAGAACGGACAAAGGAAGCACACATTTTAAAAATACTGTCAAGAACTTTGAATTCAGTTAGTTGTTTTCAACATTAACATCTTTTTCAAGATGTCAATCAAACGTGCAGCTGGGAAGTGGTTTTAAAGTGCTGATGATATCTACAGAAAAGCTTATTGTGATGTAATTTATTACAATAACGATAAATATTGTAAATATTGATATATATAGCCCAGCTCTAGTAACGTTGAGTTGTGGTTTTCTTTCATAGATGCGGTTCCTGGTGGACTTGGTGATGGACAGCTTCCTTTGCCAGTGACTGTAGGAACCCGGCGTCGACGGGATGGTAGGAAACGATCCGAGCGTCTGCGGAGGCGAAGCTCTCTGTTTGATCCCGCCTCTGTGGGAGTTATTGTTACAGAAGAGGTGGAGCCACCACCCTCAGACATGACAGGGGGGCTTTCTGAGCAGGACCCTGAGCTCAACTTTGAGGCTAACGCAGCTGAGTGTGAGCTTACTGGTGAAAACGCAGTGGCTGCAGATCAGAAGTCACTTCCTGCCAACATGACTGACGGTTCCCAGGCTGGGCTGGACTCTGAGCTTTCAGGGCTCGCAGCCGTCCAGCACTCCACTCCCGAGCCGCCGCAGCGCAACGTCTCCAGGCAGACGAAGAAGAAACCCGCCCAGCCCGCGGCACGCTCCAAACCGGAGAGAGGCCGCAGGCCGGACCGCGTCCCTCTGAAGAAGCCGTGGGAGAACTCCAAGCCACGAGCGCGCTCCAAGAGCCGGGACTGCTCCCACAACCGGGGCCAGACGGCCCCCGCGCCCTGCGACCGCCTCAACTCCTCTCTGGGCGGCAACGACACCTTCGACTTTGACTGTGAAGAGGCCGTCCACATCACGCCCTTCAGAGCCGGCAGCAAGACCTCCGAGAACCAGATGGAGGAAGCCCCGCCCTCTCCTGTTGCCCCTCCCAGTCCTGTTGCTGTGGAGACAGAATCCAGTCCTTCAGAGGCAGAGGAGGAGGCGGACGACAGCCTGTATGTTCCGGACAAGAAGTTCAGACGAGCTCGTAGCCCTCCGCCCCGGCGAGCTCGCTCCAAGAGGAGGTCCACTCAGAGAAGAGGGAAAGAAAACGCACCCCCGAAGAACCGTACTGAGCGCGCAGGTGACCTGGCCACACCCACCTGCTGTGTTTCAATTAGCAGTGTAAATAATTAACCAATCAACTGACAAATAGGGCTGTAGGTGTTAGCTGACAATTAATTGTCATAATAATTAATTATTAAATAATTGTGATTAATAGTTTAATTGTTCATTGTTAGGGGTGGGAGTTGATAAGATTTTATTGATACCAATGCCACTATCAAAATTACTTACTGGTTCAATTCTTTAACGACTCCCTTATTGATTCCTGATTGGTTTTCTGTGTGAAAAAAGGCGGCCTGCACAGGTTTTTAATCAGCACAGCTGTTTTATTCTCTCTGTTTAAAATAAGTTACAACGCTCCTTTTCTTAAAAGGATATAGTTTGGAAAACAAATATAAAACTGACTTAAAATACAGTTCGGTTTTATTTAGGTTTTCTTAGTCAAAGAAAAAGCTGCTGTGGCTGCCTGAGTGGCGCTAAGGTTATTATAACAGGATATTCACCCTCGGTACCGGCCTGCTCCGTTGGGAAGCAGTGGCTGTCGTGCACAGAGTGTCAAATACACAGCATTCCTGGAATTTTAGCCTGTGTTGCATCAAAAGAGATCAGTGTAGATTTCATCATATCGCTGGTGTTTACAGCCTCACTTGAAATGATGATTTTACAGACACTGTAAGCAGCACTGCCGTCATCTTTCTTCATGAAACAAAGCCGCGCCTCTCGCTTCCTCCTCTCTGAGCTTCCGGTAGTGTAGATGCAGAGTTTGACATCATGACGTTTGAGTTTTTTAAATGTGCAACTGTCAGGAAAAAAAACGTCAGCATGGATATCAGGAATTCATAACTTCGGAGGTGTATGAGACAAATGCATCGGACAATTTGGAACCTTTCCCAAACTGGCACTGGTTCTTGATTCCCATCCCTGGTGACTGTGTACAACTATTACAAGCCTAACGTGGCCAAATTAGCTCATTAGCCATATTGCTTCCCAGCTGTTAACTCAAACAAATGTCTGCAGCTACACAGAATACAAGCGAAAAGAAAAACACTCCTTCTGTGAGCTTACATGGTTAAAACGGTAGGATTCGCTACAGAGCTAACAAAAACAAACAGTACTCTGCTCTAAACACACTAAAGCACCACATTAGGAGTTAAAACGTTTTTGTTTTCCCATGGAGTGTCAAATTTATTTACATTATAAGCTTGACATCGTAACAGTAGAAGAACCCTTTTTGGTGTTACATAGAACCATTTTCAAAAAGGTTCTATATAGAACCATCTACAACACGTTGTCCATTAATCTGACGAATCCTATCATGATGTAAAGAGTTGTTTGAGTGTTCATAGTTCCATTTTCTTTACTAAAGAACCCTTGAAGGTACCATGTTTGTGCTTTAGGCAGTTGGTTCTAGATAGGCTTAAAATGAATTGATATGCATTTTAATAATAATAAAGTGTAATTTACTGTGATTTCTTGTGTCTCAGCCCAGTTTTAATGTAAGCTGATAGTTAAAATAGAGGAAGTTGTTCTGCCGCTGCTTCTCTCTCATTGAAGGTTCTTTCTGGTTTGTCTTATACAGAGATCAGCAAAGCGTGTGCTGAACGCTCAGACGATGCCCTGCTGATCCATGCAGGACTACACCTCCCACAGTCCCCTGAGACAGGCCTGCATTTCCCAGAGTCCCCTGTGTGCCCGCCTCCTGAGAATTCCAGCAAGTCGCCTTCAGGCCAAGAGAGTAAAGAAGGTAACAGCACATGAACGTCAGCAGCTTCTGTCTGTGTGAGGTTTAAGCAATAGAACAGGATTCGGCTCGTGCCTGTGACCATTTACTTTTATACAACGGTTAAATAAATACAGTAATAAATTAATAAACTGGGCCGTGAACGCGGTGTTTAATATGTTTTAATGTTCGCAGTTCCTTCACCAAATTATAGTTCCTTAACGAGCAGCTTGTTGCTACGCCAGAGTAACGAGCTCCGCCCACTCGCTGCACAGCCGGCAGTTCGTTCTCCAGCTCCTCACACTAAATTCCCAAACTGTCACCACTGAGCAGCTTTTCAGTCGGCAGCTGAGACAGAAGAACAGCTGAACAACCTGGAATCAGCCAGAAATGAACCCAACACCATTCGCCAAACGTGTAGTCTGATCTTCAGAGTCTGACCAAATCAGACTGAGCCATAAAACTGACACAATATCAAGTTCAGCTCAGTTTTGTCAGTTTTTCCAGATCAGTATTAATGTTGTTTTGTTCCAGCCAGTCTGTAAAGCATCTTACAGCCCATTTAGTTTGGCGAATGGTGTTGGGTTCATTTCTGGCTGATTCCAGGTTGTTCAGCTGTTCTTCTGTCTCAGCTGCCGACTGAAAAGCTGCTCAGTGGTGATGACAGTTTGGGAATTTAGTGTCGTCTCATCTTCAGAGTCTGACCAAATGGGCTGTCGGTCAAATGTGATCTAAAAAGTGTCCATTTTCTGTTTGTGGCAAAGTAAGAAGTAAAAACGTTCAAATGTCTTGAGTGTCTCCTACAGCTGTCAGTCGTTGCTTAGCAACGGTGTCTCAGCGGAGTGATACAGCATTTGTAAAAAACCTGCGATGTTATGGAGAAATAACAGCTCAGTTAGAACGCTGCTCAACCCATCAGCTCGCGTGGCCGAAACTAACTGTTGTATAATCTCCATCAGTGAGTGAAGCTGTTTTACCTCCTAACAGACACCTTTCCTTTTTCAGATCCTTCTTCTGGAACGGAGACGGCAACTCCACTGATGGTCACCCCAGCTGGAGAGGCAGGGCTTATGATGGACAGTCCTTTCTTTCAGCTCACAAACTACCCGAGCCAGTCGGCTGAGCAGGAGAACAGTGTACCTGCTGTGATGGATAAAGCTAGAAGAAGAAAAGGTAACGATGAACTGCACGTCTTTACCGACTGAGACTGAGACTGAGCCATGGAGCCATGCAGAGATCCTCATTAGGGCTGCAGTTAATGATTGTTTCTCTGATTTAGCTGATCTTTGGCCTTTTTTCCCCGTAATCGATTGACTGATCTAACGACTACACACTTAAAAAGGATGGTGCTGTAGATGGTTCTATATAGAAGCTTTTTGAGAAGGGTTCTATATAGCATGCAAAAGCTTGACAAGCTTGAAATTGTAACAGTAGAGGAGCTTTTTTCGGTGCTTTATAGAACCCTTCTCAAATGTTCATGGTTCTATTCAGAACCATTTTCTTTACAATCAGTTAATTCTCAAACCATTTTGTTTGTTAGATCAGTCAAATCTTTTCAACTGACTGATTTAACGACTGTATTTCCGTTTATGTAGGAAAGAAATGAATAAACCTGAATTCCAATCAATAACATGAATGAAATATATAATTCAGTGCAAGAAATTACATTAAATTTACTAAAGTCTTCAGTAAACAGTTGATGTAAAATGAAAAATAACATTACTTCTTTGTTTTGTGGCAATTTTTTAGTCTAACATCACTTTTCCTATTTTCTTAATTCTAGCACAGACAAAACGTGTATATTAGCATTACAGTGCCATACTAATCAACTTTATTGACTAATTGTTGCAGCTCTAATCCTCATGTTGACTGAGAAGCATCAGGTCTCGAACACTCTTTGTAATTAGTTGTAGAAGTTAGATAAGAAATCCACACCTTGGTGTAAATAAAGTGCTGCATTATTTGCTGAAACCGTCATGTTTTTGCGTTCTCCCTTTAAATAATCCTTCCAGACTGTAAAGTGAAGCACATTTGACAGATATTAATTCTGCTGTGAAATCATTATGATCTTTCAGGAGTTTGTAATGTGGAACTTTTATAATTTGTCTCACTGTTTCTGAAGTTTTCACACTGTCTCTTAACATTCGTTCCATCTTTTCTTGTTATTCCCAGTTTTCTTGTTGAACCACTCGCGTCACAAACCGTCACAATTTTCCTCCTGCGCTGTTCGTCTTCACTGGTTGGGAGAACGTTGTGGTAACGTTGTAATGTGTCTTTCTCGGCACTCGTGCACTGCTTGTGTCTCTACAGGTGGGCTGGTTGTTCGCTCCTGTCTGGGCTTGGCTTTGAGTGATGTGACCAATCTCTCCCCTGCAGCCTATCAGAAGCCTCTGCCTGGCCGAGACTCCACCCCCGGCCCCGCCCGCAAGAGACGCTGCACTAGCGCAGTCAACTACAAGGAGCCGTCCATTAACTCGTGAGTTCCTCCCTTTCTTTACAGCGCTGTTCGGACCGGGTCAGTAGTCCACGAGGAGGTGGTGGAGTTTTCACCACCGTTTCTCACACACGGTCAGTCTGTTTGTCAGTCTGCTATCCGGTGTGGTCCAGAGGAGGATGGGTTCCCCTTCTGAGTCTTGGTTCCTCTCAGTGTTTCTTCCTCTTGCTCGTAGGGAGTTTTTCCTTGCCACTGTTGCTCTTGGCGACGCTCATGGGGGCTCAGACTCAGATTTTTCTGTAAAGCTGCTTTGTGACAACACCTGCTGTAAAAAGCGCCACATGCATAAACTAATTATCATTTATTTTCTTGACGTTTCACTCAGCCTCAGTCTTTATCTTCTCTTTCAGGAAGCTTCGTCGTGGCGACAAGTTCACAGACACGCGGTTCCTGCGTTCTCCCATCTTCAAGCAGAAGTCTCGGCGCTCGCTCAAAGCCATGGAGAAGTATAACGAGTCGTTTGTGGGCTGCCGCTGAGCGTTTTAGCCCACATGGTTGGGATTTGTCAGTCTCCATCAGGTTTACTTTCACAGGGCATGACAGTATTATTGTATTGTTGGAGCCTTGAATAACGTTATATTCATGATGTAAATATGTCGAATTGTGTGGTTTTAACTCATTTTTAAAAGGCAAACCATGAATAATAAAGCTTGTCTTTGTAGAGTTTCACCTGTCTGCAGTCCGCAAGGACATGTAATGATTTGGACGGTGTCCACAGTATTTTATTATATAATTTTTATATTAACTCTCGAAGCACCTCAGACACCTTTTATAGCCGATAGTGAAGGAGGAGTTTTCTAATCCTGCTGAATCGTTTGCTCAGACTGTCGGGTTGGTTGAACAGATGCAGCACTTTTTCCTGTTCAGGAGGAAATCAGCTTAGAGCCTCTTACTGCAGATATTTCCCTCTGTTTAAGACAAAGCCACCTTCTTAATTCTAATGCAGGCCTAAATACGGGATGTAGAAGGGTAAATCAGCTCTATTCCTCTTTTCCGGGTTCTTCTGTTCTGAAATAAAACACTAAAGCTCCAAAGTCAGAGAAGTGACTGATTACAAAGCACTGCAGACGCTGTCAGCAACAAAACAATCACACAATTAGGGGCAGAATATGAATGATTAAAATGTAACTGAGTAGAGAGAAGATCACTTTACTCACTGATGGTTCTTCAAGGGTTCTTTAGTAAAGAAAATGGTTCTTTATGGAACCATGAACCGTTTTCTTTACTAACCATGATTAAATGGTTCTTCAGATTGATGGAGAATGTGCTGTATGTGGTTCTATACAGAAGCTGTTAGAAAAGGGTTCTCCTATTGTTATGATGTCTGGTTTATTACAATAGAACAACCCTTTTTGGTGCTATGTAGAACCAACACATTCTCCATCAATCTGAAGAACCATTTCACCATGCAGAGAACCATTTAATCATGGAAAGGGTTCTTTGAATGTTTGTGGTTCTATATAGAACCACTGTCTTTACTAAAGAACCCTTGAAGACCCATCATTAAGTGTGTACTCACTGTTTCAGTAAAAGTGTAATGATGTGAAAATGCTGTGGTGCAGGTCCTTCACTGTTACACTGAAGTACATGTACTCGAGGATTTGTGAGTATCTAGTACCCACTGGTATCTGCTAACGGCGCAGACTGGCCTGTAAAACCTGTATGAATGTACTCTTATATGAAAAATCACCTATTATAGAGGTCAGATCCGGGATTTGACCCCGGGACTCAGTCTAGCTCAGACCTTTTATCTTGTTCCGCTCTCTGAGCTCATCAAGCTCGGATTACAGTCTGTTACTCAGGCATTAAACTGCTTCGTAGTTGAAGATGCTGAGGTTGTGGTTTCTGAGCTCCGCGATGCTGAACTCGCACTAAAAGACTGAAAAGACCTTTAAAGACTCAAGTCTGACTCCCTCTCACACCTCAACACCACGACAGAGCTTTAGTCACAGACTGTGGTTCTGCAGCGTCACTGCGAGACTGCAGCTGGATTCCTTCTGAGATGATTTCCCGCCATCCACCTGGTGGAAGTTCAGAGAAACCCTTTTCCTGCTCCGCTCTGTGGAGGGACAAACAGGAGGATGCGCTGCTCAGCCCAGTTCGCTGTAGGACTGTTGGCGTCTCGTCGCCCAGTGTTTTAATTAACCTGTGAAATGTGCAGCTATTTTTTATCTAATATAAAGATTTGCATGTCAACAAAGCCCTGATTGGCTGTTATGAATAAACCATAGTAACAGAGCAAACCTGAAAAACAGCCCGCCTGGTTTAAACAGCGGATGAATCTGTCCTGATCTGATTCCGTCAGATCTGAGTGCTTTGAACAGCAGAGAAAGCCCTACTGAACACAGACCATCAGAACCATTAGGATTAAACCTGATGGGTTTGCTTTCTAACTGGGCTTAATGGTTACCATTGGAGACCATCAAACACATCTGGAATCAGATCACCAGTTAAACCATTACAGTCCTTTACACTGTGATGTACAGCAGTTAGTTTCGGCCACGCGAGCTGATTGGTTGAGAAGCGTTCTAACTGTGCTGTTATTTCTCCTTAATGTCACAGGTTTTTCACAAACACTATCACTCCGCTGAGACGCCGTTGCTAAGCAGCGACTGACAGCTGTTGGAGACACTCAAGACATTCGAACGTTTTTACTTCTTACTTTGCCACAAACAGAAAATGGACACTTTTAAGATCACATTTGACCGACAGCCGATTTGGTCAGACGCTGAAGATGAGACGACACTAAATTCCCAAACTGTCATCACCACTGAGCAGCTTTTCAGTCGGCAGCTGAGACAGAAGAACAGCTGAACAACCTGGAATCAGCCAGAAATGAACCCAACACCATTCGCCAAACGTCTAGTCTGATCTTCAGAGTCTGACCAAATCAGACTGAGCCATAAAACTGACACAATATCAAGTTCAGCTCAGTTTTGTCAGTTTTTGCCAGATCAGTATTAATGTTGTTTTGTTCCAGCCAGTCTGTAAAGCATCTTACAGCCCATTTAGTTTGGCGAATGGTGTTGGGTTCATTTCTGGCTGATTCCAGGTTGTTCAGCTGTTCTTCTGTCTCAGCTGCCGACTGAAAAGCTGCTCAGTGGTGATGACAGTTTGGGAATTTAGTGTGAGGAGCTGGAGAACGAACTGCCGGCTGTGCAGCGAGTGGGCGGAGCTCGTTACTCTGACGTAGCAACAAGCTGCTCGTTAAGGAACTATAATTTGGTGAAGGAACTGCGAACATTAAAACATATTAAACGCCGCGGTCACGGCCCAGTTTATTAATTTATTACTTTATTTATTTAACTGTTGTATTAAAGCAATAGAACACTCGAGGAGTGTGTTATCGCCAATAACATCACGGCTGTGATGATCTACGGCGACCGAATCACAGCTGTGATGTTATTCCGCGATAACACTCCCTCTGTGTTCTACTGCTTAAATATCAACCCATCAGGAAAACGCAGAACACCATTAGAGGCTACTGGACACCAGGAGGAGCCAACGGACACTTTTAATGGGTTCCACTGCTGCGTCCAAACCCGCGCACTGCTTTACCCAGACTGCACTGATGAAGCGCTGTTACTGGTGGTGCATCATCTCTGTTACGCGGTTTTGGATCAGGCCGGCTGTTCTCCGGTTCTCCGGGCTCTCTGCCCGCTTTGTGAGCGCAGCTATGAAGGAGAACCCGAACAGAGTTGAGTCTGTTTACTGGTGAGTCGCCTGCTGTAAACAGCCTTCAGAGCAGCCCCGAACACCTCTATACTATATTCCTGCAGAACAGGAGGCAGCAGTTTCAGGACCGCAATTCCAGGACCATATGTTTTTGCGACACTGCCCCCTAGCGAAGTGGATGACCAATGCTCCTTCCTGTCTACCTAACTACTGAATATTACAATTTTATCTAACTTATAGTTTTAAAGGCTTATTCCACCCAAATACTACTTTCTCAGAATTAAACTTGTTTATTAAGAGTTGCAATTTGTGTAATTGTGTACAAATAAAGATACAATCAAATGCACATATTGCTTTTACAGTCACTAAATCTCAACCAGATATTTGAGACACAAGAAAGGCTTTGGTGCCATAATATTTATTTAATATATCAACAATAACAACCAACAAGATTCATCAAGTCAGATAGAATCCCCTCAATCACACACACACAAAAAGCAAACGGATTAAAAAGAGACATTTAAAACTGGGACGGTTTCTGAACGACTCCTGCAAGAGAGAGAGACGCGCAAAAACCTAATGTTATTGACATTTGATGTTTCAATTTCAATACTCAAACCCCACTTTGTGAATTAGGTTACAGCACTACCCACCAATGGAATGGTCTCCCTTCTTTCTTCAATTGTTTATCTATCACTGTGTTACATTCCTCCACTGAAATAGTAAAAAGACAACACAATCACTGCTCACTTAACAGAAATAACTTTTAAAAATTAATTGACATTACAACTTTTTAATTTAAAGCATTGACCAATATTTTATGGCATTATGTAAAAACAATTACATTCTCTACTCTTACCTCTGGTGATAACCTGGAGCACATATATATATAGGCATATATTATACGGACATTCTTTTATCGTCTTTTGAGTTCTAATTAATGTGCTGGGTAGTTCATTATCATAACCATTACGGTAATAATTAGTATATGATACCTGGCTAGCTAGGCTTGCCAAAACGGCGCTACGGTTTTGAAGCGATCTATCATAAGCTAACTGCGTACAGTGCCTCGCCTGTGTAGTCTGCTAGTTAACGTTAACTTTGCTGTCTAATTCAAAACAAGAACGTTTTAACGTTAATTACATAAAACCTGATCCGCGTTCTGTGCTCACACTCCGACTGTCACCATCCATCTTTTCCACGCGTTAAATGCGGTCCTTGTATACACTTCGCTAGGGGGCAGTGTCGCGAAAACATAGGGTCCTGTACTGCTGCCTCCTGTTCTGCAGTCAGACCCCACTCCCGAGCACAGCAGGACGACATGGAGCCGCTTAGATTCAAACCGCTGTGCTGCGTTAAGTCGCCTCCCCGCATAAACTGCACCCCAAGGACCCTTCGGTAGCTGATCGTGTTCGCCTGACTTTAAGTCACACAAATGTATAACTGTAGTATTATAACTTCACGCGCGCGCTTAATCTGCTGTTTGCGGTGCTGTTCAGTTTCCTGTAGAGCAGCGTTTTATTCCTCAGCCTCTTCAGTTCCATCGCTCTCATGTTTCATTCATCAGTGGTCTCTCACTACAACACCCAACATGCACTGCGCGTTATATTGTTTTATTTGGTCAACGCTTTGACACTAGTGGAATATATGGAGAGATATGTACGCAGATTTACTGGACTACGGAACTCCCAGAAAGGCCATGAGGTGGATTGTTATTTTGAGATGACGAGTTAATTATCTTGTGATTTCAAAATAATTAACTTGTTATTATCTTGAGATCACAAGATAATTTACACATTATCTCAAGATAACAGTCCAGAAAATTATAGCAACAGTTCATGGCCTCTCTGGCCTTTGTACTGCACAGTACATAATAAACACTGATAAAAACCAGTGCCTAATAGACAGATAGAAATAGCTGTTTTCTAAAACTGCTAACAGTTCATTTTACTCCCCAACCATATTTGCATCACACAAATGTTCTAATGTCTCAG